TACTTCTGAGCAGATTACAGCACAATGATGCATTTCAAACGTCTGCCCGACGACCTGCTAATTATTATTTAGTCTCATCTCGTTAACAAAAACTCATATCTATGACTCGTCATGTTTTAGTCATCAAAAATCCACGTCTAGTTTGTGAGTTTTCGCTATCGTCATGAAAAAAAGCAGAATCAACTAAATAATGTTGTCATCGTTGATGAAAACAACACTAGTCAGTTCAATTCAGTTTATTTCTATAGCTCCAATTCACATCATGTCATCTCAGGTCACTTTCCAGTTCACCAGATCATCCAGTCAGATTGATTCAAAGTTTTCTATCTAAGAATAACCGGCTGGTTGCATCGATTTATTGACTGGAAGGCAATCTTTCACACTAAGCATGCTTGTAGCGACAGTGGAGAGGAAAAACTCCCTTTGAACAGGAAGAAACCTCCTTCAGAACCAGGCTCAGTATGAGCGGCCATCTGCTGAGGCCGACTGGGGTTCAAGGAGACAGAAGCAGAGATACAGAAATCACTAATGGAGGGAACCCCACATCCATTTCAGGGGACACAGGATGGGACCATGACCTGAAAAATAAGCATCCTGACAGAAAGGATGAGTTTAGGTCTCAGGTTTGTTAAAGACGATCGTTATCCTGAAAGGATGAGCAGATAAAGCTGAGCTGATGCAGAGACGGCTGGAAGATTTAGGTCTGCAGAGAACATAAAACCATGTTAGGGTTGGTCGTTGGTCAGCTAGAAATATTCATATAGAATGGGATTAAAAGTTTGTTTTTCAAAGTTCAACCAGCTCTGCTTGTATCCATGATAGGTTTCAGATCATAGGCCAAAGAGCCACACTACCATCACCCAAATCTTTAGCTCCATCCATAGTTTGTTTCTCTGAGATTCTGGCTGGACGGATCCAATAAAAGATGACTTTCCACCTAAATCTGCCAGAGTAGGAATCATTTCTGCAGAGTAATGGCGCCACCCAGTGGCAGAGTAAAGCCTCTTTCAGGTCCGTTCCTTTAAAGCCTTATAAAAGCAAAAAATTGGAAAAAGCTTCTGGGTTCAGTTGGCAAGCCTACGATGGCAGACCGATGGGATCCTGGCTGCTCAGGTGGACCCAGCAGAACCCGTCAGATAGGATGCATTGGATCATGTCAGCATTTAGGCATCAGCACAGCTGATCAGACTTTTCATTCAGTCTCATTCAGCTCAGCTGTGAAGCCAATAGGACCGGATGTGAGAGCAGAACCTACGGCTGGAGGTTCGTTTGGACCCTCATGCTTTAATGAGAGAAAACATGTCGGAGGGGCTTGAACAATAGAACCAACCCATACGTGTTCTGACGGTCCAATATCGCCTCAGGGGAAGCGCACAGTGTCGGGGCGTGGTCCTAAACCAGGTCACCGGACCGCCTACCTTCTGACTGCTGAGCAGGTGCAGTGTGTCTGAAGGCCGGACGAACTGGACTGGGAGTTTATCGGTATCAGTTGGACTTGAAGTGCTGAGTGATGAACCTCCATGTTCTAGGATGGCAGAGGTCCACCCTGTGGTTCTGTATTTGATCTGGATGCATTCAGGTTTAGAACATCAGTGTTCTGGATGGGTCCAGTTTTGCTACTCATTGGCTCCATCCAATGCAGATCATTGGCTCCATCAACATCTAGTGAAAACTAGTGTGATTGGATGAGTCATTGAACCCAAACACTCATTGGTTAGCTAAAGCAAATCATCAGAAGCAAGCAAGGTGTTCTTCAAACTAACGTGAATTGTCTATGCCATGCTACAATGTAGGATTCAGAAAAAGATGTTGCAATGTCTGAAAGGTCGGACACAGGGGAGAGCGTATCGGGAGATGGAGACCAACAAGACCTCCCTCATCATTGGCCCTATCTCAAAGAATTTTTCTAAATAGTCGAAAAACTGAGCTTTCAGTTCATATAAAGGCATCTGGCTGTTTTTATTAAACGGTTACTTTATACTTTTATACTTAAGTAGTTTTTGGAGCGCATTCTTTTTCACTTTTACTTTAGTAAAGAGGTCAAGTTGATACTTCAACTTTAACCAGATTGTTTTTAAACTGCAGTATCTATACTTCTACCTAAGTAACAAATGTGTGAGCTTTTGACACCACTGGGAATTCAACACCAAAAAGTTGTATTCTGAAATCGCACCTTTACTTGCGCGCAAATTTTTTATAGTTGGGATTTTGGTGGTTTGGATAAATCTTTTTTTTTTGTAAAAATGTAGCATCTGAGCTGTATGTATTTAAAGAAGTATTTTATATTTATATTAAATTTCTGCCTGACTTTTTAAAAAGACATAATTTAAGCTGAATTTGCTTAATATAAATCATTAATTGTTTCTGTGTGGCCCATTGTTTAAACACTGCATCTGCTCTTCCATACAAAGGCCCTTCTTAGTCACCAAAATCACATCTGTATGAAACACGGAGGCGGTAGGGTGATGGTGAGGGCCGATTCTGGACCTGATCTCACCCACTGCCGCTCTGACCCTGTTCTGGTTTTTTTATGTTGCAGGACTCGTGTCTTCCCGCCGACTCGGAGTAGCCTCTGCCCTCCAGAGATCCTGACTGCGGACCCTTCCCGCTCCTGGACGAGCTCCTTCTCCAGCCGCCTCCTTTGCTTTAGTCCGTCTGTCTTTCAGTTCTGCTCTGTCCTCTGTGGACCAGTCCAGAGTCCAGCCACGGGTTGAAGTGGACGAGACCTTCTGGTCACAGAACTTTATTGATTTCATATTTTGAATTCTTTGGTTTGTGTTTTGGACCCGCGGTGCAGAGAAGAGGTCGCTTTCCTGTCCTGATTATCTTTCTGTTTTTTAAAGATTTTTCAGCCTTTTTAGAGAAAAATACAATAAAACCAAAGTTTATTATGAAAATCGTGTGACTTCTATATATTTTTTTTCTTTTGGGTGAAAAGTTGAGTTTCTAAAGAAACCTATTTAATGTCTCCATCAGGGTTTGTGTTTTTTTTTTTTTCATATTTTGTTTCAGGACATAATGGTGCAGAAGTGAATTTATTTTGTTCTTCCATTTCTAGATAACTTGATTTTAAGGAATGTATGACATTTTCCCTCCGTGTTTGTTTTTAATGACTTGGCATCTTCACCTTTTCATAAATAAATCAGATTTTTTTTTTTCCTGATTTGAGCTTTGTATTTTGTCTGGTGTTTATGACCTTTGCTTTTTCATTTGATCTTAACTAAACATCCGTCATCGTCTTCCTCTCAACTACTGATAGAATCGCTGATCCAACACCTCCATTTCTGAACTCATAAATTAAAGATTTTGGGTTTGTTTTAATGTTTTAGACCTCTAGCAGTGTATTCCCCCCTTTGCCCATAAAATGAAAGGTGATGCACTGATATTTGTACCATCAGTTTGTGTAATATTGATGGCTGAAGGGATTTTAATGTCTGCCTAAATGATTTTTTTTTTCTGATCTCCAGTTAAGAAACACAAACCTGGTTCAGACGCCATCCATGGTTATAATCCAGCTGGTTATGTTTTCCTCAGTGAGGTTCTGGTCACCGTGGAAACTAGAAACAGTTTTATTTTCTAATCTATAGTAAAAACAAAAAAAATAAAATTAAGTTCTGGAAAAAAAATTCACATAAAACTCCCAGAATTTGGACCTAGAAATCTCCAAAGTGATTCTGGTCCTCCTCCAGAACATACGACCCGGAAACAGAACACGGAACGTAACTAGAACATTGGACCCAGAACCAGAACATAAGACCTGGAACCAGAACATACGACCTGCAACTAGAACATCTAGAACCAGAACATACGACCCGAAACCGACCCGGAGCCAGAACATACAACCCAGAGCATATGACTCGGAACCAGAAGATACAACCTGAAACCGGAACATACGACCCGGAACGGATGCAGAGCCAAAACATACGAACCAGAACATACAATCCAGAACATATGACTCGGAACCAGAAGATAAAACCCAGAACCAGAAGATACGACCCGGAGCCAGAACATACGACTCGGAACCAGAACATGTGACTCGAAACGAGAACATACAACCCAGAACCAGAACACATGCCCAGGAACCAGAACATATGACCTGGCACCAGAACATATGAATCGGAACCAGAACATATGTTGCAGAACCAGAACATACGACCCGGAACCAGAACATATGACTCGAAACGAGAACATACAACCCAGAACCAGAACACATGCCCAGGAACCAGAACATATGAATCGGAACCCTAACATATGACCCGGAACCAGAACATACGCCTCGGAACCAGAACATATGACTCAGAACCAGAACATACGACCCGGAACCAGGACACATGCCCAGGAAACAGAACTTATGATCCAGAACCAGAACACATGATCCAGTTAGACGAGTGAAATATCTACACAGTATTTAAGAAATCAATGAAACGTTTTGAATGTGAGGTAGTAGCTAAAAGGTATTCTATGCAAATAGAAAAAGTGAATCCTGAACTTACTAGAAGCAGAAGACATTTATTTAATGAGCCTGAGGGAAAAACTGTCATTTTGTTTTTTACACAATAAAAACCACACACCTTTATAGAATGCCAATGGATTTTTAATCTATTTATTTTTTTTCTATCCATTTTATTTTATTTTCTCATTTTAAAAAGTGTCCAGAGCAGAAAAATTAGGATTTATTTTAAACTTTGATCATTAGATACCAGCAAAAGGTTGTTTTGATTGTTTCCTAGCAGGCATGACTGGGTAATAAATCCTTTGGTCGGAGATGAAAGTAGTATGAGGGAACCCAAACTGAACAGGTAAAAATATATATTCCTTTTTTCTTACATTGATGTTAATGTAATGAATGTGTATTTTTCTAACAGGTTCCTGCTTTTAGCCCTGCTGCTGCTGCTGAGAGACGCTCCTGGTGGTGAACAGCGCCCCCCAGCGGTGCAGTCCTGTCCCTCCCTGGAGTCTCCGGGAAAGCTGCGCCCCCTGATGGTATGCTCCTTTTCGGGCAACTGGGGGATTTCCTGAGCGGAAGCAGTGGAGGGGGTTTCCAGTGTGATCAGCCCAGGCCTCCCTGCTGGCTCTCTGAGGTGGACCCGCTGAGTTTTCTCCCTGGAACTGACAGCAGAGATCCGGATCGAGGACGGCGCTGCCGAACTGGACCATGAGGAGTCCGCCTGAAGCCTGGAGGCTCCACGGCAGCGTCAGCGGAACGACGACGGTTTGAATCCGCAGTGAATCCGCCGAGGAGGCTGATGTGAGTTTACCGCACACACACAGACGGAGAGACCGGGTCAACATGGGGCGGATGGAGCGGGAGGACGGGCTGTTCACACCCGGCTCTGGGTGCTTCGGTTCCGAAGGCTTTGATGAATGAATCCTGTAATAAGCGAGCAGAGCGGCGGAGCTAAAGAGGCTAGCCGCTCGCTAGCATTAGCAGTCCGTGTGTTTACATCCGCTGCCTGCCTGTGAGGGACAGACTCTGATGGACATCTGCTGTCCTCATCTATGTCCTCCCTGTTGGACAGCGTCTGTCTCTGGAAGCTTCTCGGGGGGAGGGAGAATGTCAGCTTTAGGTCACCTGCTGCATGAGGGGCCAGAGGGGCCCCTAACAGCAGCTCCATCATCTGGCCCCGTTCATTAAATGCATCCAGAAGAAAAACTGCCACCATTTTCAATCTGTAAGAAAATTAGAGAGATTTAATCTACTGACTGCCTCCATCAAGGCTCATCAGTTCCTATCTGTCTGTACAGTAGGAGCCATTCCTCCAATTTGCTGGTCTTTGGCTGGCCCTTGATGGGCCATTGGCTGATCACTGGCTGGTCACTGGCTGGTCCTTGGCTTGTCCTAGGCGGGTCCTTGGATGGCTTTTGGCGGGTCCTTGGCTGGTCAGTGGCTGGTCCTTGCCTTGTCCTAGGCGGGTCCTTGGATGGCTTTTGGTGGGTCCTTGGCTGGTCACTGGCTGGCCCTTGGTGGGTCCTTGGCTTGTCCTTTGCGGGTCCTTGGATGGCTTTTGGCGGGTCCCTGGCTGGTCACTGGCTGGCCCTTGGTGGGTCCTTGGCTGGTAACTGGCTGGTCTTTGGCGGGTCCTTTGATGGCCCTTGGCTGGTCACTGTCTGGTCCTTGGATTGCCTTTGGCTGGCCCTTGGATGGTCACTGGCTGGTCCTTGGCTTGTCCTTGGCGGGTCCTTGGATGGCCTTTGGCTTGCCCTTGGCTGATAACTGGTTGGTCTTTGGCGGGTCCTTTGATGGCCCTTGGCTGGTTACTGGCTGGTCCTTGGATTGCCTTTGGCGGGTCCTTGGCAGGTCCTTGGATGGCCTTTGGCTGGCCCTTGGCTGGTAACTGGCTGGTCTTTGGCGGGTCCTTTGATGGCCCTTGGCTGGTCACTGTCTGGTCCTTGGATTGCCTTTGGCTGGCCCTTGGATGGTCACTGGCTGGTCCTTGGCTTGTCCTTGGCGGGTCCTTGGATGGCCTTTGGCTTGCCCTTGGCTGATAACTGGTTGGTCTTTGGCGGGTCCTTTGATGGCCCTTGGCTGGTCACTGTCTGGTCCTTGGATTGTCCTTGGCGGGTCCTTGGATGGCCTTTGGCTTGCCCTTGGCTGATAACTGGTTGGTCTTTGGCGGGTCCTTTGATGGCCCTTGGCTGGTCAATGGCTGCTCCTTGGCTTGTCCTTGGCGGGTCCTTGGATGGCCTTTGGCTTGCCCTTGGCTG